CTACACGAGGTACCCGAGCGGCGCGGCTGCGGCCGCGCAGATACCCGTCATCGCCCAGCAGATACCGCCGAACCCCAACCCCTACAGTGCCACGACCTACGCCCAACACGCGTCGGTCAGTATGATGGCGGCAAGCTTTGATTATTATTAGTCTTAAGCTGATTGTTTAATTTGTGGTTGAAAGTGGATGTTGAAAGGGTCCGGTTGTTGGCTCCACAGACCATGGACAGGTTATTGTAGATAAAAAAGATGACTTTGTTGGTTGATGGATAATGAGAAGAATTGAGGAGATGTGGGTAGGATAGCGGGAAGTATAATGGTGCGACGATGATAGAGCGCGGAATGGCCTTGGGCAATGACGATGGTTGCAAATTGTCGAGCATGATTGCTGAAAATTTAATGAATAGAGACCGCATCTGCGTTGCGGGGAGATATTTTCAGGTGACCGAGCATGAAGCGATGATACTAATGTGTACATATTTTGTTTGATGCAGTATGGGGGACAACGTGTTCCTACCGCCTCGTCTCCGGCGAACACAAACAGTAGTTCTAGCAGTGCCACAGGTAGTCAAAGCGGGACGATGAGTACTAACCTTAGCAATAACGCCATGCAGAACCAACAGTCAGAGCAATTGTCGAAAACCAACCTCTACATACGTGGTCTCAATCAAAACACAACAGACAAGGATCTTGTTAATATGTGTTCTCAGTAAGTTTTTCGTACTCGGTGAAATTGTTAAGAGCGCACTTATAAACAGTAACTATAATTCTCTATAATGTTGTTGGGTGTTTCTCTCAAAATTTGCCCTGTAAAATTATGTAGATCATCGAATTCATTATGTCGTATTTATTTCAGGTACGGGACTATAACTTCGACGAAGGCGATTCTGGACAAAAATACAAATAAATGTAAAGGTACTTAGTTGAAATTTCTACTTTTCGGTTACGTACTCATTTTAAAGCGCGGTCGAATAAGTTTTCTTTGGAAAACTTGAGAAACCGTGGTTTTGTTTTATTTATTTATTATTATTGAAATTTTTTGTTTTTTATTTATTTATTTATTTATTTTTTTTTTTTTTCATTCGCACCATCATGGAACTTTTCCCAAATGGAAGGTTGCTTTTCTTTCGAATTTATAAATATTTATAATTTTCTTGATTGAATTGTTGAAAATTTCATTTTTTTTTCTTTTCTTAAACGTGATTTAATGTATTTTTAAATTCAAGTCAAAAGAGTTAATTTTGTTTACGTACTATGCCTTAGTATTATTATATCTTTAGTTTTATAATTTTTCATTTGTTTTCAAGGAGTAAACTAATAGCGAATGAATGGCTTATGTATTTTTTACATTATTATAAATAATATTCATTCAAAAATATTTTTCAAAATACATCTTATTGAAAGTATTTAACATAGTTATGAAAAATCGTGTGCTGTATATATATATATATATATATATATATATATAGTGCACTTGTGTATGTATGTATCGGTGCTAGGTTCAATTTATCATTAACTTAATTTCTTATTAATTTACGAGCTATACAATGATTATAAAACTTATCGTTCATTCACTAGTTAATTTACTCTTAACGAGTACTTAACTTAATGTCACGAAGGAGTCCCGGTCATTGGGAAACGTAATATAGTTGCGTTTCCTCAAAAATAATTAAATAATGTACATGGTAATTTTTTTTTTTTATTTTTTATTTTTTTTTAATAAACTAATGCATCTGGCATAACATTACATAATTAAAAATAAAAGCCTTATCGGGCAGGTTTATAAAAATAAATCCGTAGACGGATAAGAGTCTGCGTAATGATATTAAGAATAAATAAATCTAAGGGTCGATTATAAATATATTAATTTTTTATGTGAATGTACAAACGTAAGACCGGAACGCCTTCCTATTTTATATTGAAATTTAATAAGTAATTTGGTAGAAAATAGCGAAATGTTTATTAACATTAAGAATATTATTATATAATCCTCTGCCACGCATAATCAATCAGTGATGATAATAATAATGAAAATAATTTTTGGAATGCAAACGTAGAATTTTGAAGTTAAAATAATTATTTGTAAAGATAGAAGCATAGCTGTGAATTAAATTAAATTAATCGTTAAAAATTAAAAATTTCCTTTTTAAAAATCTAACGTCCGACATTTTTTGAACATTCGGTCGAAATGATAATTGATACGTTTATCACAATTATGCATAATATCAGAGTCAAATTAATTGTTGTTAAAAATTTCAATTTATCCGCATTAATTTCACAAGTATCTCATGGTTAATTATTCCAATTAAATTTAAGCTTCGTAATAATATATACGTCGTTGAGTTTACTTATTTATTAGAGAGACGATTACTTGAGTTAAGCGTCAAAAGTACAATGATCAAGATAGTATTTGTTTAAATGAGGACGTTAAACAGCAAAGAGAAATAGAGAGAAAGGCAGGAACGTCGAAGAGACCGAAAAGCCAATAGTGAAACAACGGCTGAACGGCTGAATCGCTAAAAATAATCTTTGACATAAATAGGCTTTACATTTTCATTAAATTTCTATTGAAAGCGCACGTAATGGTAAACTTATGATATTTGTTTCACTATTTTTCAGGTTATGGCTTTGTAGACTTTGAATCACCGGCGGCGGCAGAGGGTGCTGTCAAAGCCCTGGTCGCCAAGGGTATCCAAGCGCAGATGGCGAAAGTGGGTATCTGGTTGATCCGTAGACTGGCCAGTGTACGTTGGTTGTGCATGCAAGTACAGTAATACCAGAGTAACAGTAAACCTTTCTCTATCTTTCAATCTTTACTCTCTTTCTCTCTCTCTCTCTCTCTCTCTCTCTCTCTCTCTCTATCTCTCTTTCACTCTATCCAACTTTGTCTATTCGTCTCTCTCTACGCCTTCTTAATCTGTTCATTTTCATTCCACATCTTCATATCTGTCTCACACGCGGAGGCATATACGCAAACACACACACACACACACACACACACACACACACACACACAGAGAGACACACATTCTCTCTCTCTCTCTCTCTCTATCTATCTATCTATCTACCTATCTCTATTTTTCTTCTCTATTTATTCTTATCCCCGATGCCAGAACCGACTTTTCAGTATCAAAACGATCCTCTACCAAATTCCTCATTTTCTTGCGACAAATACAACGAAGCGATCAGTTAAACTTTTGAATTTTTATTTCACATTTTTTACTATCATCGTATTAAAATTTTTTATTGGAAATTGCACACTTTTTTTATCAATATAATCCAGTATTTAATAAAGATGAAATTTTAGACTGTACATACACGGCATTGTCGCGAAAGTCAATATTTCTACAACGTTTTCTCAAAATATTCACCGAATATAAAGTTTTCTTAACGATTGAAACCCACTAAAAGTCTTTTCTCTCTAATCTAAAAAAAAAAAAAAAAACAAACGAATCTCACGAATCTATCTCTTTACTGTCTTACAAATACCTTCCAATCTGTCAATGCTTGCTGTTATACCTCGGCCAAAGTCGCTGATTACTGCTATGTTAAACAAGTTCCAAGCCATGATTTAAAATTGCATTTATTACGGCCTCAATTTGAACCTTTGGCGATTAATATTTATTAAAGTCCTGGGCATTAAGATTTATCAGTATCCGCTGTTTTTAATAATATAATTTTTAACGAACCTCTGCCATACTATCGTCTTGAAAAGTTAGGAATAAGAAACTTAACGATTTCGTAATTAAAATAAATTTAAAAAAAACACACACACACACACACACACACATTGTTTCAATGATCAAAATGATTAATTTTCATTGTACACAAGCGTATTCGTTTGTATATTAAATACACTTCAATATATGATGACTTATTAAAAAATTAATGTACGCATTTGTTTTTCAACTATTTGCTTTCTAATGCATCATTGTTAATGTAAATCAATAATAAAACTACTTGTTTGGTCGATACGAAACATAACAATTAGTATTTGCTAAGACTCACCTAAAATTCGTATTTTATGACTAAACGCGCGACTTTTTAAAACGCTATATAACAACGTCTTTAATGATCGAGATAAAATTAACGTTTTTTGTTTTTGTTTTTCCTTATTATTAAATAAAAATGGCAAAAATACAGTAAAAAAAAAAAAAGAACAAAACAAAACAACGCGTATTAGTAAGAGAACTTTTATTCTGAGAGTAACTCTCAGAATTTTATAATTTGAATAAAAACTTATAATCGAATTAAGTTCATTTCATTGATGTATGGCAGCATGGATTCAAATATTCAAATCACGTATTAAATTTTTATCTTTGAATGCATTTTCTCTTTTTATGATAAATACACAAGTGTAACGCTCGTAAGTGAACGATCGAGTAATCCCTATTATTTTCACTGTACATTTCTTAGTCGCTGATTTCCAGATTTTGTTTTGGAAAAGTATGCAAACCAACATACTTATAAATACAAAAAAAAACTACACATTCTAATTTTTTTATTCCAATTTATATTGTTTTATTTCAAAGTTAAAATATATATATATATATATATATATATATATATATATATATATATATAAACGTTGAATTCAAATAAAAAAATATTAAAAAATATAACTGCAGTAAACGTACAGAAAATTTTGCAAGCAAATGACCCGACTCATTTTAATTGTGTTGCTGTGTAAAACTAACTCGGAATGGTTCTTCTAACCTAAAGTGGTGAAAGCACGAGGTACCACTTACTAAATAATTGATACTCGAACGCATGTTACGCCTTTTAAAATGTAAATATTAAGAATTACTAATATAACATTACTAAACTAGAGGTACCTGTTCATTAACTTTGCATCTATTATTGGTACGTGGCTATACGCTCATTTTTTCATTTTAATGGTGGCTCCTATGTCTTTTCAATGAAAATCAGGCGCTACATCATACTCGTCGAGTGCTGATTAGCTCTGATTGGTATATGCCTTGCTTCTTCTGTTTTTTTTTTTTATGATTATGTTCATATTATTAAAATGAAAATTATGTAAAAACAACTCGTGTTAGTTAATATTTGTTTGTCAGTGTTGTTACACATCATATAGAATTCAAACATTATGCTGAAAGTTTATTTATTCACAATTGAGTGTAATAATGATCTCCTTCTTTTATTTGGATTTTTTTTTTTTTTTTTTTTCCCCCATAAAGTGCAAAATAGTTGAAATTTATAAATTCTCAAAGAGAATAAAAAAAAAGAAATGTTTGAGTAGTATATGATTTTTATTAATTTTATTGCCAAGGTTAATAAATTAACAAAGAGAAAAAAAAAATTTCAAAAAGTTTTACAAATTAATGTAAATAAATTTAATATTATATAATGCCATAAGCTTGGCTTTATCCAATAACGTTATAATTATTTGTTTTATTTTTCTTCATTTAATGCATTCGCAAGATTGAAGTAAATTGTCGTAAAGTATAAGTACAATAAAGTAATCGTAGATTGAATTGAGACTTAAAAGAAATGGTGGATCTCAAAATATGCTTATTTATCTTGCTTCGCGATTATTCCTTGCTCAAGACCGAAATGCAAATATTACAAAAACAAATGTCTTTTTTGTTTTTGTTTTTTTTTTTATTTTTATTTTTATTTTTATTTTTATTTATTCATTTAGGTATTTTTCTCTTAATTTTACAAGTCGATAATGCTCATTTTCGTATTCTCGCGCGATTTCCCCGTGTCACAATTCTTTCTATTATCTAAGCTATATTATTTTATTTTATTTATTTGTTTTTTTTTATCTTTTATTCTTCAACTTCGTTACATTTCTGGTAATTTGATTAGACTTTGATTGTGCTTCGATTATTGGCTTAAATTTAGTGGAATGTTATAAAAAAAACTTCCAGAAATTAAAGTTTGCCTACTAGTTATAGATTTCAATGGCTCGTTACAGTACTTTATCTCTCCTTCTCCACATGTAGATAAACTCGTTTAATGTACCGCCTTTCACAAAACTCAGTTTTGTTAATGTACTCTTAATAAATTAACATTTAAAAGCCAAAAATGATTAGCTAAGTAGAATTTATATATTTTGTATAAGTATTTTATATATTTTGTAGTAAGTAGCGAGATATTTATATATATATATATATATATATATATATATGTGTGTATGTGTGTGTGCGTGTGTGCGTGTGCGTGCGTGTGTGTATACATTTTTTTTAATTTATTTATTTCAAATAAATAAAGCAAATTTAGAGAGCCACCAGAATGTGGTAACATACATAATGCAACGAAGCATGAAAAACTTTCAAAATTAAAAATTAATAAAATAAAAGACCTCGAACTTTCTATTTGAATAATCTTTAATGTGTCAGTCATTATTTGCGTTTTCTGCAATTTATACATACAGTCAAATCGAATACAATCATAGCTTATTGATCTATTTTGTTTTGTAGCTTTATTAATGTCGTAGAATTCATTGTTTAATTTTTTTATTTTTTATTAATTTATTTTTTCTTTGATGGTTTTATCTTATAATATTGGACAAGAATAATTAAAAATTTAAGTATATTTTGCCGTAAACGGCAGAGTTTTGTTTTGTGAACAGTTATTTAATAAGTATATCTTTCTTGCTTTATTCGTTTGGTCAATTTCGAGGTATTTGATAAATTAAAAATATATTTTTTATAATTAATATTATTATATTTGAATTATAACATTATAATCATTATAGATAATTTTTCATCGATGTCTTAACAATTTTGCTAAACTATAACACGAAAAGGTCTTATTAACGCCCTTCCTTGTTCTTTGTTTTTTTTTTCCCCATTAAACTGTCGCCTAAACACTTTTAAAAAATCATTATTCAAACATTATTGTAATATATACGCGCTATTATTGTTATTATTGTTGTTATTATTTTTATTATTATTATTATTATTATTATTATTATCATCATTATTATTATCATTATTATTATTATTAAATACGCCGTTGTTATGTAACAGTCCTTTTAAAGAGTAACGCGTTCGAGAGCAAAATTGTAGATGTCGATGACATAATTTCAGTTGAAAGAAAATGCTTAAGTTGAAAGAAATGCTGTGAGCGCGACCGCGCGCCGGAAAACAATATATTGCATAGTCTCTTCGTTAATTTCTTCAGCAACAGGAGCAGGATCCAACCAATCTCTATATCGCCAATCTGCCACTGTCATTCAAAGAGAACGACGTCGAGGGTCTGCTCACTCAATATGGTCAAGTTATTTCTACGCGCATCCTACGTGATACTTCCGGACAAAGTAAAGGCGTTGGATTTGCAAGGTTGTTATATTGGCTTTAAATTCTCAAAAATCGCTATTCTCCGACACATTCTTGCTGCTTTAGTAACAATTAGTTACTGCTAATAAAATTAATATAGAATGTAAAATGTGATAAATCGTATGTTAAAACTTTGAGAAATTAAACAAGTTATTACGCAGGCGCTATTAATAATATGTAGCTTTTCATTAAATTTTTAGTTTATAATTATGATAAGCCGTTAAGCTTATAATATTGTAGCGCAATGACAGATCATCGGTGTAAAAATAAACAAATGGCTTATTAAATTTAACGGTATTGTAACGATGAGGATTTATCTGTTAATTAGAACGAAGTTTTTATAAAATAAACTTATAATTTCATTTATGCATTATACCGGAATTACGCGACTAATTGAAATAGTTAACTAAACCGAATATGAGAAGGCATTTAAAATTACTTTTGAAAAGACTTAATAAGAGATTAGAAAATCTTGTTTTTTTAGAAAAGATTTCCTGGATTGTTGAAATATATAAGAGTAATTTATATGAGATTTATTGAAAAGTCTCTCTTTTATGAGAAGTAAATATTTTTGTTCGAGCATTACAACGTTAATAAATATTTATTAAAACGTGGATTGCCGCACTGTATTTGTATAACTTTTCATTCTCAATACTATTTTCTAATATTATTTTTATTTCTAGGATGGAATCCAAAGAAAAGTGTGAACAGATCATACAAATGTTTAATGGCAAGGCATTGCATGGAGGCAAGGATCCTCTTTTAGTGAAATTTGCCGACGGCGGTAACAAAAAAAAATCTCTCTATAAAAGCACAATATGGAGGGAAACGGGTGATGTGAGTAATTCGGTAAATGAGACTTCATATTCATATAATCATAAATTCACGTCCCTAATGAAATTTATTTCTGCCTTATATGCTTATATGGTTATATCGATACCAATCATTTTAAAGTAAACATAAACATATAACGAAATGTGATTTTTATTGGTATACTCATTGTCATAATTAACGTAGTATAATATTAATTCTTAAACGGAAAATATAATCAATATATATATATATATATATATATAATAATTATTATTTTTTTAATCATTTTTTTTCATATACTTTTTATATATAAGTTAGCCAGGCATTTGTGCAATAATAAATAAGTATTTATTTATATTGTACAGGTCATTTGAAATGTGTGAAATAATTCGAATAAAGTCGTAATGTCGTTTTTGTAATCGCTGCCCATGTGTATGTAAAAGATCAGCAATGCTGAAAATAATTTAATTGTCAACGATTAACGATTACGGTGACGACATGCTCGAAAACATGTCAATCGATAGATATCTCATTTTATGGTGTTTTACAAAAAGCAGAATGAGAGAGCGTGAAAACATACGTAACGTGAAAATGAATCAGCATTTGAATTATCGAGCTTGCAACTCTGTCGTCTCTGTCGTTCGCTCAAATGTCCAACCAATAATATAACGCTCTCATATCCTGCCTTGGTAAAAGACACGACATCACAACGATAAAGTCAAACAATTAATGTGCCTGTCACTGCTTACCGGACAATAGAATATGGCCCTGAACTACGACACGAGTGCGGTCGGACAAAACGGAGTGGCGACGGCCCACATGCTACCAGCTGCGACCCTCGCCCAATACGGCCGGCATTACAGTCAAGCGATGCCAGGATACAACGTGCCTGGCACGCCCTGGGTTACGCCCTACCTCGTCCAGACTCCTCCACACATGCAACAGGTCGACGTGAGTTTTTCTAACTTAGGACGATTTTCAGTTCCGTGTCGCGTTGTTATTAACCATCTTTTTTTCACCTTGGTTTGGCCTTGTTTCATTATGTTGTCTTTAAATGTTGTTAATATTGTTAACGTTGGAGAAAATAATGTCGAGATTACATCGGTCATTTCGTAAAATCGACGTCGGATTTTTATGGAATTGTTTTTGGAAGTTTTTGCGCGAGTATCGTCAAGTTTCGTATTTATCAATTATTGCGTATTACATTTCATCAATGAAAGTTTTATTATTTTTTTTTATTTTGTTTTTTTTTCTCTTATTAATAATAATATATTGCAAGTGTTTATTTGTTTCGTTAGTTTATGATCGTTTGTTATACATTAATTAGTTACACATATACTTATAAACTACTTGTGCTATTGTCTTTATTTTAACTTTCGAAATTCTTGTCTACCATAGATGATGCCATCGGCTGATCCAAGCAATCCGCAGTACAGCATGATTCCACAACTTACAACTCAAATGTCCACATTACATCTTGGAACTGGTTCCGTTAGTATTATCAAAGCATATTCTTTACAATTTTAAATCATGGCTAATTGACAAATCCAAATATTGTAAATTCAATGCTCGAGTTATACAATTTACCGTCCAATCTTGTAAAATTGATGTTACAGTGTAACTTGTACTTTCGTAACAACTCTCTTTCATTGCCGAATAAAAATTATCACAAACGTTTGAAAGCTCCAAAATCAAACAAACAACAAAAAAAATCAGTAAACGAGTATCAAGCTCACAGTTTACATAATAGTTCACAACAATTTTCACCAAATATCTAATTATCTGTAATGCTAAAGCATCATATAATCGTACAATCAACAGCTTTACTGATGAAAATTTAATTTTTCAGTACATAAGTCCGCATCCGTACCCGTACACGACTTACCCGGCACCCAGCATCATTCACGCCCCTATGGCCCTAGGCGATTCCGATCAGACGAGCAACGCAGCGTCACCGGACGACTCCTATCAACAATACCAGGCTCAGCAGCCCAAGTAGGCTACAGATTTTTAGGTTAGGTCAAGTTTTAGCGATTAGGTTGTCGAAAATGCGAGACACGAGAGATAGGTTTAACTTAGGATTCGTTACAACTTCTTAACCAATAAACATGGAAAATTGGTTCATAAGAAAAACTAACGGTACCCTCTCTTCACTTTTTAGGTTCAACTATGCGGAGGGTTACACGAGTTAGGCGAGGTACGCTTGTCGATACGGGGAGTTACTTTAAAAAGAAAAAAAAACACAAAAAAAGAAGAATAGATGAGAAAAAAGATAACATTGCGTAAAGTCAGATAAGATTCTTCCTCACGATAAATTGACTTGCCAGCCATCTTTTATACATTTTATCCAGCAAGATAAAATAGGTGAAAGTAGTTGAATATTTTGCAACGAGTAGAGAATGATTGAGTGTTGACTTTAAAAAAATAGAAGAGCGAGCAGGGCAAAGCGACACTCGCGGTGTTGATTTATGTACGACATGCTATACACACAAATGAGAAAAAAGAAAATTAAGGAAAAAAAATTAAAATAATAATAATAATAAGAAAAAATGGCACGACAGCTCCACAAAACGCCAACACATCGTATAGCTGAATAGCGACAACTAACATAGGCAACGGGGCAGTCATAGGCGTCAAGCTGATAGGCTTCCAGGATAACTTTAGGTATTACATTTACTAAGGAAGACGTTAATAAGTCGTCGGAGCTAAGCGCTTGAGAGAGTGTGAATAAATATTTTAACAAACTGGAAACTATAAAGAAAAACGCTGCTTAGAAATATACAAAGAAAAATGAAAAATCTTCCCAAATTTCAAGTTTCAGGAAAAATCGAATTCTGATCCTTTGTCAAGACTAAATGGTTTACAACGCTTGATAGACTTTTCGGAATCTCTGTTTATCCTATTTAAGATACTTGCCTTAATGTGCGATTTGTACCTTTTTATATTGTTCACTGGCGTCTTTATTAGATGAAATTGTAATGCAGTGCCTTTGTTGACCTTTGAATCATTGAGGTATTTCGTGTTCGTGTCAATGTAAGATAAGTGATTTAAATCTGTAATTAATCATAAATCGTCACGTACTTTCCACCCATTTCTCTCTCGCTCTTTATTCTACTATTCCTCCCCTCCCTCCCAAACCCCACTCAACTACCACTGCCCCTACCACTACCCCCCCCCCCCACCCCCCCCCCCCCCCCCCCCCACCCCCTCCCGCCCCGTCTCTTTATCAATACCTCTTCACCCCCCTCCCCCTCTCCCCCTCTCCCTCTTCCACCCACTCTCGCACGCACACACACTCTTTATTTCTCGTTCTTTTTAACGTACGTATATAATCTTCTTAAGTTGATATTGCCTAATATTATTTTTATTTAATCGATATGTATATATTTTTTTATTTTATTTGTACATGGACAAAAGCTTTTGTATTCGTTTTTACCTTCGCTGTGCAAAGGTCAATTCGTAGGACTGTTTAGTGAAAACTTTTAGATCAGTAAGATGCTAGTGAGCAGTTTTTAAAAGAAAAACGAAGATTAATACAATTTGATTATAGCTTTTCTACCATAGAAGTGTGCGAAAAGTTTTTGAGTAATGTAAAGGAGTAAAATCTTAACAACGGTTGAAATTGGATTTTTCATAAAATTTGAAAAAGGTCAGGGCATAAGCCACTAAAAGTGCCCTTAGTTTATTTTGGATCGTTTGAAAAAAAAAAAAAAAAAAAAGAAAGCTAGTCTTTGTGAGAGATAATGTGGTGGTTTAGATAGGCTCTTCTAAAGAAAAAAAAGAAGAAGAAGAAGAAGAAGCAGAAGAAGAATAACGAAACGGGCAGAAATAACGAAAGTGAAGGAGCGAGTGCAAGAAGATAGAGTGTACTTGAGAAAAACGACCTGCCTATTTACACGATACAGACTGCAGACACACTGTTAAAATTGTAAAAAAAAAAAAAAAAAAAAAAAAAAAGGAAAAAAAAGAAACTGCACACATACGCTGCGAGTGCACTTTGTATCGAAACATGTACAGATGCGTTAGTCTTAGTTACTACTTACGTGTCATGGTTCGGTACATCTATAGTGACGCAGAGAATCAAACTCATTATTATCATCGTCGTCCCTTATTTTTTGATCAATAAAAGATCTGTTTTGGGGATTCGCTTACAAGAATTTCAATTAACCTTTACCTAACCTGTACGAGTACGGGTTCGAAGGGACACGAGGCTCACTTCACTCGCAGAGTATCCTTTGAGGCAGATCGATTGCGAAGAAGACTCTGCGTGCATTAAGGATACTGCGAAGTAAAATATTTTTAAAAATTACAGATTTTTTATATTTTTATGCGAGTTTTTAGAGTTGATATAAGTAGAATTAAACTTTATTGTAATGAATTATTCTATTTTAGAGAAATTAAAATATTTAAAAAAATCCCAGCATGACGATGACCGATGTAATTGTGTATCAAGAGATGTTGTATATTAAATTTTCAATTCGTCGAAATGAATTTTTTATGATTTACATCATAATACGGTATCCTTAATGAAGTACAACTGATTTTGTTCGAAAACCAGGATATGTACAAGTACGTCTTGTTTTGCGATGCGCTTCTGTTGAAGGACGACATAAAATCTTATAGAGATAATACTAGCTATGAACGACTTGTTAAACAAAGATACAGTGCGAAGTGATAAAGAGGCCTTCAGCCGAAGCGTACGCCAAACAAGATGGCCTAGAAACGATTCAGTATTAAATAAGAAACGTCCCGCATGAACATTAGACGTCACATTCCCCCACATTATCCTGAAGCAGCGCGATGCATTTACGGTGTCCACCTAAAGTAATGATTTAGATTAAAGGAAAAAAAAACAAGACTGGGAAGTAGCGTGTTACGTACGAGTCAGTAGGCAAACCATTTGAAATTCGAGGATTTTCTTAGCGCCCTTAGAGTGTAAAATGTGATATTTTTCACGAGAGAAAGAGAGCACGAAAGAGAGATTGAGAGAAATTGAGAGAGAAAGAGAGAGAGAAATCATTGTGGTGGGTCGATGAGCAAATGGACGTAGGTGAGTTTTTTCTCCCACAGAAAAAGCTTTGGCGTTGTATCGTTTAGTCTGTCTGTTCATCAATTTAAAAAAAAAAAAAAAAAAAAAAAAAAAAAAAAAAAAAGTGCTGCTGTTATAGCGCTATAGAGCGAAAAAGGAGGATTAAAAAAATCGGCACGGTGCAATGGAATTCATCGGATGGTTTATAGAAATAAAGACGATACTTTTGTGTCAAGGCTATTCGAACCTTTCAATCATTTTCTTTTACTTTTTCAATGCTTGTAAAATGTTAATCCTGTAAATATTACGAGTTACAAGTGAGAATCGAGATGATGTGTTACTATGTGAGAAATTTCTTTACTTAAAAAGAAAAATCCCTTCTGTTGTCTTCTGTGGATATGTTTGCTTTTAATTAACTGACAATTTATTTTACACTAATTTCAGACTTTCTACTAGTTTTTTTAGTTTCTGTAAAATCATTAGATAACAATGCGGGAATAATTGATACGTTTTTCTTTATCAGTTTTTTTGTTTATTTGTACATTATAGATTAAATGAACAATTTCATACAAAAAGGTCTTTGTATAATCCACAGTTTTATGTTAATTTGATGACTCAGGGTCATAGTTTTTGCGCTGGTATTTTTTTTTATATTAATAAAAATTAAAGAAAAGAAGTATAACTTAAAAGTTAATTTTATTATTTTTTTTTTTTTTTTATTTTATTTATTTTATTTTTTTTTTTTGTTTTTTTGTTTTTTTTTGTTTTTTATCAAGACAGGATGCCTATTTATGCATAATACGTCGAATACAACAATTTTGTAACTTTAATTTCAACGATAATATTTGTAAATAAAAAAAATCTTGTGCTAACCGTTGTTTGATATGGAAAAAAATGTTTTTTTTTTTTGTGAGGTTTCAAACTTCGCTATAACTATTTAAAATCATAGGTTGTACATTTAGAATATTAAAAAAATAGTTTAATTTTAAAATATTTAATCAAATTCAGGTTTGTAAATTTATAAATTTTTAAAAAAAAAAAATTTTTTATTGAGAAATTGTAATTTATTTATATTTTGATAATAGAAAGTTATAGATCTTCATATTTTAAGATATTGTAACTTTAAGTAAAAATTGAAATTAGTATGTAAATAAATTAAGAAATAGATGATAAAGAGATAAAAATTAGCAGTAAAATTTATAATAGATTTAAATTTACAATAAAATGACAAGCCCACACAAGAAGTTTTAAAATATAAATGTTTCTTACCTCCTTCTTTAAAATATTAATTTTTATTTTCAATAAGAAACATAGTTGAAAAATTAATTGAAATAAATGGAAGTTTATATTTAATTTGAATACTCACAGAAAAGATAGTACATGCATATATTTATATATATATATATATATGTGTGTGTGTGTGTGTGTGTTGCGTGTGCTGCGTGTGTATACATATGCGCACACGTGTACACGCAACTCTGCACTGTCGATACTTTGGCATGTAAAATTAATGAACTAAATTAAACTATAAACAAGATGTTCGTCCCTAAATTTCAGAAGAAAATGTGTGAACAGACATTCAGCCAAGTGTAAGTATTTGATTTTATTCTGATTTTATTCAATACGAATTACAAATAATATAATAATAAATCAAGTCTTTTATAACGAAGGATATTTTAAATTTCTATTAAAATAATTATATTTCATAATTATTTCATATTTTTCATTTTTCATAAATTAAATCACTTGCTAATTTGACAATACAATAATGAAAATATTAAGATACCTTTAGGCAATACTAATCATTGGATTATTGCTATTTTTAACAATTAGTTTCCAATTTAATTAATTGGATTATTGATCCAGATTGTTATTATTTGACAATTAATTATAGATAGCTTAAAATGAAATCTAAATAAATTAAGAAATATAGAATGGCTTCACTATCAAAGGTGAATTTCCAATAAAATATAGAGATATTTTCGTAATTAAATGGTAAAATCGCTATAAATCTAAATAAGTTTAAATAACTAAGGAGGTGTAAAACTACAGCCGTATTTTATCAAAAATTTAATAAAATAAAACTTTTATAAAATTGTTTAATTATTTTACTTATATGTAAAGATTAATAATATGTTTTATTATCTTACATCTGACTCGTAGTTAGTTATTACGACATTTCTCATTGTGACTTCAATATCAATGAATCGAAAATATTTTTATCCGATATTCTGTTGTTGGTCAATCAATTTTTAATAAAATATATTTGAAAAAAAAAGTGCAATTATCGCCGGCCTTCTGGAGTGTTTTTTTTTCTTTTTATATCTAATTTTATCATTCAAAGAGAATGTGTATAATTGTCAAGTAACAAAAAAAAAAAAATATTACTATTCAATTTCCGTAAAATACATATTACTCCAAGAACATTATATTTTTTAATTTATTCCTTTGCATATTTTGGATAATTTTTTTTTTTTTTTTTTTTTTTAATCAATACTCCCTTCAGTTAATTATATAATATAATTCTATTATTTTCATTGTATTTTTTCTACACTTAACATAAAATAGATTTATTTATGACAATTTAACGGAATTTTTAATAGATAGATTAATATTTGTCTGTAAATAGGAAGACTTTGAAGCGATTGTAGGTTAGATTGTTTTATAAAATTATAAACTTGAATTCGATTATGTCATATAATCGTAGAATAAGTGGTTTCTCCTTAAATATGTATAGTATAAATAAAGAAATAGTATATTTTTTTCGTAAATTATTAATTTAGATACAAATTACCGACAATGAAGTTTAATTATAAATAGATTTTTAAATCGTTAAACTTACTTCTAGTTTCGGTAAAATATTTATATGTTTTATTATATTGCCGTAATAGTTAAATAATTAAATAATTAAATGCCGTAATAGTTAATAAATTAAAATTTCTGATTACGTAATTAATAATCTTTTTTCATTTCATTAAAATTTAGTCGCTTAATCTAGTTGTTTATTTTTACATGTACATGTGTAATTCATCATTTTGTTTTCTTTATTAAATACTTGTTCGAAAATTTAACGTTTTTTAAATTTCATTTGTCAACAATATATTCAACAATATGTAAACCAAAAATTTTTATATAAATTTATTTATATAAAATAATTACCTACGTTAAATTAGAGTATTAGTAATTATAAACATACCGTCTTATTCATATAATATTAAACCCAAATTTCCTGAATTTTAGAATTTTACAAATTTATTATATTCAATACTTAAATCATCAATTCAGATATCATATATATATATATATATATATATAATGAAATTGTTTTGTTTTTTTTTTTATAAATTAAATAGGTATAATTTGATTTTGAAAAATATTTATTTTTATCAAATTTTATATAAGATTTTAATTTATATACGAGAACTTAGCAGGATTTAAAATTTTAAGGTTTAAGGATAAACTGATTTTAAGGGTGAAATTGAAAAATATATTATTTACTATTATTCTATTACTATTTATTATATGATAATTCAAGGTCAATAAATATATAACAGTTTTTCATTATTTATGTGAAAGAGCTGATTTTGGAAATGATATTTATAATCAGTAAATGAAAAGAATATGGTTCATATTTATAGAAAAGAGATATTTATTGGCTTACTAATGATTAATTGTTATTTATTTCTTTATCTACTAAAATAAATTTAGTAGATGCTGTTGTCTTCTGAAATTCAATAAATCAATATTTATTGGAGATGAAGAATTACAATTAAATTAAAAAATTAAAGTATTCAATATTTTTTTTTTTATTATATAGTGGTAACAACAAATTAATAATGATAATCTTGATATTCTATATATGAATTTACATTTGTTTTAAATTGAATGGAAATTTTTAATTACAATAGATTATATTTTTTGCCAAATAATAAAAATATTAAATTGAAATTTTCAATATACCTGATATAATATATATCTCGTACTTTTTTTGCAAAAAATATGCCATAAATCTTTTGCACGAAAGGAAAAATGAACAACATCGTAACTTGCTTTATTGCTCTATTTATATCATAATTTGAATATATGAAACTCATCTATTTGTAATTATATATTTAAACATAATTTACAGTTTTTATAACTGATGTCATTTTTTATTGCAAATATAAGCCAACTTATATTACTACTTATATTAACCAAATAACAAATATAATGGTGATAATAACCATTATTGCTATTCATTTTTAATTCGTTTTTAGATAATTGTATTATATATAATATATAGAAATGTTTTTATAATGTAGAAACTAGAAAATCACGTTAAATTTACAGTAAATGCTTTTAGGATAAATTGAAAAGAAATTTTTGTCTATCAATAAAATTAATTAATAATTGGAAATTATTTCAAATTAGAAAATAGTTTAATCTGGTGAAAACAAACATTTCCAGGTATTCAGCAGTGTCTTGGTATTATCAAGTCTATTGATTAAATCTTAATCATCGTGACGGATACGATGTAATGTAATTTAAGCCAATCTATCGAACTTCGATATGAACACTATGAACATTTGAGTCTGTTAGTCATTTACAGAAAAGAGAATATCGTTTTGCGAACTAATCATATTAAAGTGCAATTCAATATTTCTAAATTGGTATTTAGTTTAGGAATTTTTAAAATTGTTATGTTAATAATAAATTTATTTTTATCTGCTTTTCCTATATGATTTTCGATCCAAGATATCCGGAAAATAACATAGTACAAGATTGTCTAAGAGATAAGAATTTTATTTCAACAAATATTTTACATCAGTAAAATACTTTTAACTTTTATCATTGACGTATATTCATTTTTGTAAAAATAAAATTAAAAAAATTATAACATATTTTATTAACAAAATATTGTTATAATATGCATTGAATATTCGTTAAAAAAAAAAAAAAAAATTAAAACTCAAATAAAAGTTGGATCAATAAAAGTGATTGAAATTATAAATATCTTTATAATTCATTAAATATTTTCAGTTCAGACAAATTTAACTTTTCAGATTTAATAATAAACATTAATAAAAACAGCTTTAGACAATTTCCATCTATTAAATAATTATATGAATAATTTGATATAACTATACAGAATTGTCGCTAATCTATTCAATTAATAGCTTGGAAAAAATTTTATTTTCACCTTAATCACTTAACTTAAAAATCTAAATAAACTATATATATATATATATATATATATATATATATATATAGCAACGATTCAATTGAATTCGATTTATAAATAATTTGAAAATATGTATAAATAATGCTTGATTTATTTATTTCGTAATTATGTGCGAATTAAAGATATGTAATAAAATACAAATAATCATATAATTATTCACTTCTCGTTTATTAAATAGAGTTTTTATAAAATTCTCTCGGTACATACATTATGTAAGTAGAAATTTTATTAAACAATTTATTGTAATAAATAATTATTGTCTTATTTTATAACTTTGAAGAGGTTGAAAATATTGTTTAAAAGCTTAAAAATGCTTTATTATCTAATCGATGAGTTTAATTGAAAAATATTTTTACAATTCATTAGGGTTGCAAAACAAATGTAGACGAATATGGAATTAATTATAACTGAATTGATAAAAAAAAAATAGAATTTATATTCTTATAGTAGCTTAATGTTTTTATTTAATAAATATTTATCCTAACACTTACGAATGAAATTGCAAATTTTTATAATTTATATAATCAAATGATCTTTTTCTTTTTTTTTTTTTTTTTTTTAATATTAACGATTATTATTTAAAGTTTTTTTAGTTTTACGTTTGCAAAGAAAGACATGTTCAAGATTTGTGGTGTTTTGCCGTGTAAATATTAATTCATACATATTTTCATATTTAATGAGAATATTAAAATAAAATAATAATTCATTCGTTCAAATTTGTCTTTAAATCAAGACTAATTATTTGTTTATCAGAATTTGTTTTATATATTTGAAATAATGGCTACGGAAACTTGTATTTGTATTAATATAAATATTCACTAATAGTATCATATATCTTTGCTGAATTAATGATTTTTCTTAAAATACGTAAGCCAAGGGTGGCTTAGACATCCCACGAGTAAAATGAATCTTCATATTTTTAAATTAATTTATTTGCTTTATTTCTTTAAAATATAACAATTATATATATATATATATATATATATATATATTAAAAAAATGTCTACACTTTTAAATTCCATTACTATTTAATGCCTATGATAAATATGATTAATTAAATTAATGTTTGTTAAACCCATTAATCACAAATTAACATTAATGATAAACGATTAATATTAACTGCAAAGAAACATATAGATAATATTTCATTCAAAATTCAGCCAATAACTATCTTTTTTCATTTAACAAAATTAATTAATTACATTATACGACATTAATAATAATATTGTAAATTCTAATAATTATCTAAAACTCTTCTTTACGATAAAAATATATAAGCAAATAAAGCCCATTACATTCAGAGTAAATTCCCAAGGGCCTCATAGAAATAATCATAACAATTTCCATAAATTGTATTGATATATTTTTTTATTATTTAAATATAAATAAATATGTATATATAAAAATATACATATACGTATGTAGAAGAATATTATAAATACTCGTATACAATATCTTGTATAAATCGTTTATAATACCTCGTAGCAAGATGAATGTTTACTTTTGCAGGATGAATGACAACATCTAAGACGGGACACGTTCCTATATTAATACCAACAACTTCATTATTATGTATAAGCGGTCCACCACTGTCTCCCTAAAAGGATAATTACAAAGATATGAATATGCATTTACAAGGGCATACCACGTCTAACTTACATGAGTGAAAAATATCAGAAATTAAATATAATAAAAACACGACTATGACGATTCCCATGATTATTATAACGTTAATTAGGTTTATTATGCAACCATATAGACTGTTAACATCATATACCAAATTTAGTAATGTAATAGCGACAAAGATCAAACTTTATGCAATTTTGTTTGTGCTACATAACACATTTTATCATAATAGACTTATTATCAAGCACTTATTGTCAATTATAATAAATATTTAAATGACATTTCATTTGTAAAACAATGAATTATCAGGCATTATGGTATATAAATATGTTGTCAAAATATGATAGGACAAAAATCGATAATTATATAGAATAATGAGACGCGATAAAATTTGTATTAAGAAACACGTAATTCGAAAAAAAAAAAGAAGAACGATAAAATTTGTATTAAGAAACACGTAATTCGAAAAAAAAAAAAGAAGAAAAAAAAGAAAGAAAAAAGATAATAAATGTTAAAAGATTTCCAATAGTTTATTAGGAATCTGAGAAACAAAATTTTTGTAAATAGCGTTAAAAAAGTTGTGTACTTTTTTTATGCTCCATTGTTATGCAACAAAATATTTTTAATTGCAATTCTTTTAGAATGCATCGAGTAAAATTTGTAAAATGAAACTAAAGCTCCTTTTCTTTATCATTTAGTCGATTAATCATTTTAGAAATTACAAAATCTTGTAATTGTATATATATTCAATGAACATATAAGATTTCCAGACAATAATAATAACTTCTAGCTTAGACCAATGGGCTGCCAAATAATGGAGGAGTAGGGTAAAAAACACACACACACACACACACACACACGACGACCAAAGGCCGAGGAGTCAGTAGAAAGTTTTAGAGCTTTTTAACATGGAAGCTTTTTATAACACTGCTCATTAATAATAATTGTTAATTACACAAATAATATATGCAAATATACTAGAAGAATGTTTCCTATATAATTTTGCTGAAATATGTTCGTGAGCTTTGCATGTACACAACATAGAGATGACAATAGATTGAAACAATTACTTACAAATTGTAATAAGATGCAAGGCTCTGTATAAGTGCATATGTATCGGCTATCAAAAGTAACTCTGTCTCCATCAAGTGCAGTAACTCTATCTCCACAAGCATCGTTAGCTAAGATTTCCGTAGCAGCAATTTGCAGAACATCCGACATATTTCTATTATTTAATATGCCCCAACCTACTATTTCAACGTTTGTTCCACGTAATGGCAGAAAACTATAAGAAAGCATTGCAATTCGTGCATTCGTTTCGCCACGTACCTCTTCTAATAACTAAAACATATGCTGTGCTTAAAATTTCCACGTGATAATTTGTTAAAATTAGAAGAACAAAAAAAATATTAGATTTATGGAAACGTCGATCATGTATACATCGATGCAATTAGAGTGGCAAAGTACGTGATCAGTAGTGGGGAATGGAATTACCGCGATATTTTCGTTATACATTCAATAGTTGAACAAAATAAGAAAAAAAAAATAAAATAATTACAAAACAACAACAACAACAACAACAACAACAACAACAACAACAACAACAACAAAAGTAATAACTTTAAGTTATTGTAATGTATATAAAAGAAAATGATCTTATGAATTTCGCATAATAAGTTACGTTAAATGAAAAATTAATAAATAATGAAATGTAACGAAGCAAAATTTTATAAACATTCTATTGAACTTTATCTGAATATTAAAAAATTATATTATTACTATTATACACGTTATGCATAAAAATAATTGAAATTAAAATAACAATGCTCATTGACATTGAGTAAAATTTAAAATTATAATCAATCTGTTTGTAAATCATAATTATATTTAAAATTTTATATTCTCCAAATGTTTTTTTTTTGTTTTGTTTTTTTTTGTTTTGTTTTGTTTTATTTCCGATATAAAAATAACGGTGAAATACTTAAACATTAAAAACAGACGGAAAATGAGAGGTAGCATTTATACTTTAGAATATTTTTCAATATCCCGCAGCGTCACAATTTAAAAATATATACTTTCGTCTGACGATTAATGTAATATTGATGTAAAAATAAGAAAAATTCTTTACCCTTATTACAACGATGTCATTGTCGTAATGTTGAGTATCTATACCATTAACTACAGCCCATTTGTTATAACTTATCCACCATTCTGGGGAGAATTGTGTAGCTTGGCTCAACTTAATCGAGCCCACGAGTATCTTAATACCTTCGACGATTGCGCCATAAAAGCAATGCTCACTTGTTAAAACGTCTCGCATTGATATGAGGGTACCCACACATTCGTAATCTCTCTGTATGTTTAGAGGTATATCCTTGAGTTTAACAATTCCAACGACATAGGGAAATCGAGTGGAATTAGCCTCCACGGGATTAACATTTTCGCCATATAAAGCTTCCGTGTAGAGATGAATGAACAGATTGTCTAAAGAGGATGGAAAATTCAGTTTCTCAAAATTATAATACAAGCAAGAGTTGTTATGTGCCAGTGGTTGGGCGATTGATTAAATTCAATTAATGGTTTTGTCGTTACTTACAAAACACTACACATTCTCCAAGGAAAGCAGAAATCCTGAGTCGCATGCTAAAATTAATTTATTTCGCTATTAAAATGAATTAAATACAGTCGAAAATTCGTAAGAACTGCGACACGTGCAATAAAGCAAGGCAGACATACAATTTTAGCCAACTTTTTCAATACGGACATAATATATCGTACAATAAGTCTCATTGAAGTCTGAAGGATAAGTCTGAATGTACTCGTACATTGCAATTAATTAATAATTGATATAATAATAATAATAATGGCGATTTAATTAACGCTTCGTAAATATAACGGAGTTTACCTTTAAAGGGAAGCTCAACTTGTTTATTATTGGAATGGGGTTGATGAGCTCGATGTATAAAATAAACGTATCGACTTTCATTATTGGAGGAAAATTTTTCGGGAAATAGCGTAGCGGATGGAACGTGGAGACTGGCTTAGCAGGGATATGAAGAGTGGGTAGAAATTTTCATTACTCGGGATAATAATTTATATGTACTGTAAATAATAATTATTGAATAAATTATTGAAGTTTATAATGATTATGGAATGAAATTGATAAATTGTCGAGGAATACGACTTATTGACAAAGTCTATCGGTAATTAATGAAAGATATCGTATATAGATGAAAATGAAAAATTGAGAAAACAAGAATATAAATAAGAAAAATTAATAAATTCTTTGACTCACGAAGATTGCAATGATATTTTGATTAAAGGAATGAAACGATTAAAGATTCGATGAATTTAGTTTAATAAAAATTTAATAAAAATTTTTATTAACCCAATGAAAAATCGAAATAATGTTGTTATATTTAAAACAATAATATTTGTACGTGTAAGAAGGAAAATTTAGCGATTTATGAACTTATATTAATTTTTATACTAAAAGTAAAAAAAAAAAATTCTTTTATACCTTACTACTTCGACAAAAATTTAAAAGACACTATAAATGAAAAAACAAAATGTAATGTTTATATTTAAATCTTTAAAAAAAAAAAAAAAAAAAAAAAAAAAAAAAAAAAAAAAAAAAAAAAAAAAAAAATTTATAGTATAAGATAAGAAATTACACGAATTTTACTACGAGAATTACGAACTTTATCAAGCTTATATCACCGACTCCATTATTTAATACTCATAAGTAGTAAAAATAAATTGTAAGTATATGTATTGTAATGTCATTTTCTTCAAATAATTTGTAATACAGAATTAATCAAACATTGAAAGTAAAAATATCATCGCAATACTTTATTAATGGTCTTTAACATAATAACATTTAAAATAAAATTCATCAAACTTCTCCAAATTATAATATGCGTGGGAATTTGAATTTTTGTTTTTTTTTGTTTTTTTTTTTTTTTACTGCGATATAAAGGTATTGAATGTAAATTTATGGAAAATAAAGGAGGCATATTTATACTATGAAATAATATAAAAGATTTTATTATAAGAATATTAGATAGTGTAAGATCAAAACGCAGCTTTAAGATTTTCAATTAAATCGCAATGAAAGTAGTTTCTGTTGGCAAAGACAATAATATGGATAATATGGTAAAGGCTCGACATACGATATTCATTATTAAATTCTTCATAAAATTCATCTAATTACCTCTAAGTCGATTAATTCAACAAATTCTTTGTTAAATTCACCAGTAATGCTCGAGTGTTTTTTTTTTTCTTCCTTTTTTTCCTTTTCTTTCTTACCAAGAATCGAATTCGGCAATTCGGGCTTTGCTTTGCTCTATAAAATGGACTTGTTAAGTACATTCGGATATGTCGTGACATAAAAAAGAGGTGCGGCGTAATTACATGAGAGGCGCTGGTCCACGTGTGAAATAATAAAGACAAAAACTAAGACAAAGATTTGACAGCCTTTAAGAAGCTCTCGATTCTTTAAAATTAATGAAGCACCGAGGGAAGTTCTCTTTTCATTAAGGGGTCGAATAAAATTTACTAATAATCTCAACGTACAATTATAATCTTGTCAATATTTTGTTTATTATACTTATCGTGTAAAAAAAAAAAAAAACAAAAACAAAAAACAAAAAACTAAAAACAAAAAACAAAAAACAAAAAACAAAGAAAACTTGGTATAATAGTAAAAATAAAAAGAGAAAATACACAAATATTGAATTTTCAAATTCAATTTTTCTTGCCCAAGTTTTCAAACTTCGCAAGTGTCATCGAGATTGAGTAAGATTTCAAATGCTTTTATTGCAGTGAAAATCCAAAAATCTCCAATATAACGATTACGTCTGCACTGCCATCCAACAACCTAATGAACATTAATCAAAAATTTATATTTGATAATTCAATTCTAACGATATCCCATATTACATCAATTTACAATGACCTACGAATATCCTTAAATTCGGTTTTTCAAATCCACCATCTAAGCGACCATTTTTTTTTTTTTTTTTTTTTTTTTTTTTTTTTTTTTTTTTTTTTTTTTTAATCGATTCCCAAATTATTACATTTATTTATACGATAAATATTACAAAATAATCAATTGTTACTGTACGGTTAAGCCTATCGCCACCGGAGGTGAGGCACTTTTCACACACGTAACGATTTTACTTTCGTTTCGCGAGTGCTTGCTACTCCGCAAATTGTAAAACGTCATTAATATCCTCAATTTTTATTAAGCATCATTTTCTTAGGGATGCGATTGATTAAAACAAAACAAAAGAAAAGAAAACAAAACAAACAAACAAAATTTTTTAAAATTCGTGAATAACGTTATGACGTTAATACCTGAATGCTTGATTACTCAGAATCCTAATGTACGTATCCGTCTGCTATGAGTTTAATTTAATTGCAAAAGGTTAATTTACCTTATGCTGGTAATTCTTGAACCAGTGAAAGTAATTCTATTGAAATTAATGTATTGAGTATGAGAAAAAAAAGGGGGAAAAGAGACGAAGAGGAGAGGCAAAATAAAAAAAAAAAAAAAAGCTTCATCTAGTTTAACGAAAGATTAAAAATAGATCCATTTACTCGTACCAATGATATTGATAAGGTTCGTGAAATAATTACATCGGGATAATAAGCGTAATTGCTAATCAAACTAAGGATTGCAACTGCTGTAATAAATATGAGAATTCATTTGTGAGAATTCAAGTGATTGATTGCTGGGCGGAAAAGCAGTGCAATGTTTCACGAGGTGCAGGTGGAAAATGCCACTAACACACTAACGGCAGAGCTCATTAACTGCATTAACTGAGAACGATGACCGATATTTTACATAATTAACGTGAAGTCAGTTCACGTGAACAAACGTGGCGATGAAAAAAAAAAAAAAAAAAAAAAAAAAAAAAAAAAAAGACACTATATTTTTGAAGCATAGAAAAGTGGCGAAATCTTTGTAATGGAATGTATTTTGTCATATAGATGATTGATCGCTATAAATTATGGGTGCGGAAATATGTGTATCGGGCGAAGGGATAAATAAATAGAGAGCATTGGCATAATGGGAAGAAGTGAAAAGAAACGTGAATAATGAACAACGCTTTCGATTGGTAACGATGAATTTCGTTTATAAATAACGTACGACCGCAAATAGAAAACATTTTAAATACTTAATGATTAATTGTAAGATGTAGAATTTATGAGAATGACTTGAGCGTAAGACATAATCGGAATTGCAAAATAATATTTGTACTTGGCACACTTTTCTTTCTTTTTTTTTTTTTTTTGTTTTTTTTTTTTAATTAATTAGATCGGATCAGATACACGCGCATAAGTAACGCAAATTAGTGTATAATTCACCACATAGATCGCGTATGTAGAAATTGTGCATATAATACGAGGTCGGCACTTTTCTCCGAACGTTCAATTGCAGGAAAAATTCTCTTCTGTCGCTTTCTCCGACGATCGCGAGATCCGATACTCTTTCCTCTATTTCGTGCTCCATAAGCATTGTCCATTGATCTCTACAGCCTCCAAATTTGCGCGACAGTGCGGGATCGCAAGATGAATCATTATGAAGATAATTTGTTTGCAGGATTTTTCTCAAAATTGTTTCACAATGCATAGAAACGCATATAACCTGAAAGAGAATCGGCCACATTCAAGCACGTCGATTCAAAATTACATTTTTTTTTTCAAAACACAATTAATTTCTTTATTTCATATGAAACGAGCACTTATTTATTTATTACATTCTTCGTGGCAGAGTGTAATAATGATAAAATTAAAAATTTTTTTTTAAATAACAAACTTTAATCGAATTTATTTCAATTTTCTCTGTTGAGAATGATTCAACGAGCTTTTATTATAATTCTATTTTATTTACTTATAATATCGAAAATTAAGTTTCTTCGCTGTAAAGTTTCTTATCAACGTAAGAAAAAACCAGACTAAAGTATGTCGACATTATTGAAGAATTATATCGATGATATTCGGCGTATTTTCGGCCAACGAACTCCCAATTACATTTTCTTTTTTAGTTTTGAAGCTGCATTGCGCACATGGAAATTAACGGCGCAGCTGTTTGGGAGAAAATTAGTCGAGCTCCGATGTCATTCGCTTATCGCTGCTCTTACAAATCGAAGGGGCAAACGCGTTAATTAATTAATAATCGACACATCCTGGTGTCTGCATTGTCGAATCGGGAATCCAATCGGTTAATTCGATCGAATGGCAATTACAATGAAACGATGAATGAAAAAAAGTAAAGAAAAAATACGTTTTAATTGAGAAAATATTAATTAATACACCGCATTCGATTACCATCCATTTCCCCCCCCCCCCTTATTTACATTATTATTGTGTTTCATTGAATTTAATCGTCGACATTACGTCATACGCTTTCAAACGATCGAACAAATTTTAAAATTATAAACTGTGAGTCGAAAATGTATTTACATATTATATAATTTTGAACGGATAATTTCAAGTCAGAATTGAAATAGTAAATTATAATTTAGTTTATTTTCAAATGTATTGGAGAGTTTATATATTCTAGAAATAACTCGATTCGCCTATTAAGTTACACATACAATGTATATATTATTCTTTAGCGAGCTGATCGAGGCTCAGCAGATTAATTCATTTCTGTATTTAAATTCTAATTATGCGTATTTGAATATCTAATAGCTTTACTGTTTGCTTCAATGATTTAATGATTTGCAATGATGAAGAATTTTTCGAAAGTGTTTTTTTATATAATAATTATTCCAAGCTTTGATTATCTCACATATATCATCACATAAATAATATCATGATAAATGAATATCTTTAATGGTTATATTTACAAGAATAAATATTAAATTATAGTGAATATATTAAGTATAGTGAATAAATCCTATAAGCATAGAGGAAAATATATGCGTTTTATCGAGTTTTATCGAGTTTTATCGAGAGAATAAAAATAAAAATCTCAAATACGATAGGGAGGAAGATTAAAAAAAAAAACTTAATCCGAATGGCAATTGAATGTAAAGTATTCATTTACCTGCAATAAAGTTACTCGGCGGCTAAACGTGCGACTCGAAGTTTAGCAAACGTTAAATAAATAATTAAAATATGTGAATAATCTAATGTCTTAATACGTTGTATAAACTCTTCTAACGCTGCTCTTCCAATTCACTTTCCAATATATTTACACTTTGATTTATAATTTATTATTGTTGTTATTGTTGTTGTTGTTATTATTATTATTATTATTATTATTATCGGTCGAATACTTATATTTAGTAGCTTGTTTCTCTTTATGAGTATTTTGCTGTATGAATGCAAGATTTAAATGTGATAAGCTTAATATGTCTATAATAAGTCGCTATTACTTGAAATATGGACTTCCACTTTCCGTCATTATTATTTTGCACGAGTAAACACGCAATTTAAACATAATTTATTGAGAGAGAAACTTCATTCCTATATTCATCGGGTATCTGCTGGATACGTAAGTATGTAAATAAATAATGTATAAAAGAAAAAAGAGGTAAATGATAAATAAAGGTAATAAATTTACAGCCATAAGTCATATTCGTCGGCTTATTTTATTTTTCATTCAAGTTAAATTATAAACGTATAAATTAATATTTACATATCACGTGCTTCCAAGTCACGCACATCACCGTAAATACTAAATCGCTTGAACAATGAATTTTATATGTTTGTTAGATTTCGTTATTTCATATTAAAATTTTTATCATTGATTGAATTAGAGAATAACAGTCCAGAATAATTATATTATGTTAACGCGATGCACCATCCGCCCACTTCAATTTATGATTATTTATAATAATTAATAACGCATATGGTAAAACGAATGGCACATATGTCATTGGAGATAATCATGATTTAAAGTATATAAATAAAATTATAGATGTCATTATATTATTACATGAAAAATAACAAGATAAGTACAGGGTATTTTTTTAGTCACGTCGATTATTATGATTATAATAATCTTTTGGACGTAATTAATGAAGTTGAGGAAACATAATGTACAGAAATTGTCAGTTGAATTAAATATTTTCGACGAAGTATTGAAGCATTGATTAGAATATTTTTTTTTATCTACAATAATATCGGCCTGAAACAAATCAAAAAAAAAAAAAAAAAAAAAAAAAAAAAAAAAAAAAAAAAAAAACGTACGTAAGACACTTTTATAAACATATTAAGTAATTAAGCTCACGCGTATAAATAATATACGTGCATTGCGGAATGATATCGATGTTAATTAAAAGTACCGACTGACTGATATTATAAAGTTCTTCCACTTCACGCGATAATAACAATGTAATGCTTGTGACAATTAACTTTTGTAAACAGACACGATAAGAGTGCGCCAAAAGTAGGAATATTAATTCAAAATTAGCGAGAATATTGCGAAAGTATTATTAAAATACGTACGGTTCTTATCGAGCCAATAAACTTCGAAAAGCTATGAAATTATTTCGAGGAACGATAATTAGAATCAAGAGATAAATTTAAATTCATTTTTAATTATTAAGCCAGCATTACGGCATTACAGTATTACAATAAATGTATTATTTAATAAATAATTTAACATTGCAAAATTATGATTATGATATACGTTATACTTTTGTGTTAATAAAGAAAGGTATTTCATTTTCTAAACATATTTTGTTCTGTTTTATTTTCAAAGACAAAGCGAGTGGCTTTGAATTTTGCGGTTGACCAACATTATTTATAAATTAATACCAATCGACTCCGTCATCGTCTACGTATACACATTGTACATGCGCATCGTATACTATGCATTGACAATAATTCCGTAAAGTCTTGCTTTGCTTTACACAAACAAACGGCTTTAAAATCTTAACGGCTCGATACAATTTTATTCGAAACTTATTGTTACATATTGTCATAACATGTCGAAGAACTTGGTTGGCCTCTCCCTCGTTCAAACCTACCCGCGTCTAACCGCTCCCCCCCCTCCCTCCACCCTCCTCGTCCTCCTCATCCCTCATATAATCACTGTTCGCGCGTTTTACAAAGCATTTAATAATTCATTATCAACATCCGATCTCCCCACAATCAAACCATCCCCCCTAAAGGCTAAAAAAAATCACCAAAAAAAAACAAAAA